ACAAACTCTAGGGTCCCTTCCAACCTAAGCCATTCTATAATTCTCTGATTCAATGAAGATCAAAATGAAAGTGGAAGAAGTTTTTGTATTACTCTGCTATTATAGAAAGCCTTCTGCATCTAATAGTCATTTTAAGTCATTGTCTTAGCAACTTAGATGTCCAACAGACACCAAGAGCTCTTTAATTCAGTCTCCATAGCAAGCACAGAAAGATTTCAGTCCACAGGTTGCATTTTACACAAATCTTTTCAATCGTGCTTTTCAATGACTCACTGAATGTTCCACATTAATTATACTAATGTGAGCTTGTATGCAGTCCATAAATTATTGCAAATGTAGGTTGTTTCTCTACAAAACTGTAAATTAGATCTCAAACATTTTTAGAGGTCCAAGTACTTGAACTGTTTACACCTGTGAAAGGTAAAGGTTCTGAAGATCATTCAAAACAAAGGCACTCTGCACTTAGATACTGAGATGTGAATGTAGACACCTGACTGGAAACTCCCTATTTGAAATAATCTTTCCTTCTGATGCCCTTGAGAAGGGAAAGCAAGGGCCCCCATTTCACTCAAGATATGTTTGCGCTTTGTTACTTAGTCCTCTTTGATCTCAAAGCTATTTTGGGAGTGGTGCTTGTAAGCAACAAAACCAGCAGGATTTCATTAAGTCCATGCAACTGATAAAAATCATAGACAAGGCAGGTCATCAATGTTGCTTAGAATAGAAAATCACAGGAATGAACTGGCTGGTATTGTGAGCTTAATTGTTTCTCTCTGTGTAAATCACTCTTTTACTGTTCCTTCAGTCAGCAAACAAAAGTAACTTGAGACTTGTAGTGTTTTTAGTGAAGTAAGGTCTAATTCTGCCTTGACTATAAACAGCACAGCCTCTCACGTCTGTCTTTCTAACCTGTAAATTACACTGAACACAAGTACAAAATCAGCTGAAAGCATGTCACTTGTGTCTCTACATGCTTCTCAGCTGCAGTTCTCTAGTAAACTCTATCAACATATAAAGAGTTTCTTTTTTTTTTTTTTTGTCAGTCAGTCTGTATCAGGCAGCTCTGGGTTCATCCATTAGGGGGGGTCCATCCCCATGAGAATTCCACCATCATCACCATGGTAGAGACTTTCTCAGTCACCATGCTAAGTACAAAAAAAACAGTACACAAGCCAGTGTCAAATGCTGCATTGCAGTCAGAGTCAGCTTCTGTGCATGTTGTGGGGAGAAGAATTCCCCATCCAGACAAATAAAATAAAAATTATACCCAACACTAATATTCATTAGCCCTATTTCTGCCATATTTCATAAACTCAGAGACGGTCTAGAAAGGATAGCTGAATGGGAAAACAGATTGAACCACAGTATATTGAAATTTGGAGTTTCATAAAAAAAAAAAAAAACAGACTAAGAAGCCTTTGTTTTGTGTGTCATTCCAAACCGGATATATAATTCTGGGAAGAGGAAATCTTTCACAGTATTTGACACTCTTATCTAAAATCCGTGATTAGTCCTGTTCTTTATTAATATTCTCCTGATTTATACCATCTTCTTATCCTGGGCACATGGTAATTTAGAATAAGAAAATGGTTTTAGCTCAAAATCCTCTACTTCTTTATTACAGTCACTACTAAAAAGTTAATGTTGAATGATAGAAATGTGTAGCTTTACTGTAGTATATAAATACTTGATATTCACTGTTGGAAGTTACGCAGCCATACTCCTCATGGTGGCAGATAAAGAAATAGATACAAGAGCGACTAAAATGTTCTAACAAGAACAGAAACCACATTTTTTCAGGTATATCTATGTATTTGAGTCAAAATAGTTAACACACTTTAAAAAAAATGTAACCCATGAGTAAAAGTTAAAATTACATTTCATGATATCTACAGTTTGTTATGTTTGATGAACAAATCAGGCCAGATTCTCATCTTCTGATGCTGACTATCTCCATAGCAGAAATCTACGGTGCCTCCTGGGAAATAAGGTACTCCTCAGCAAGAGAAAATGCACAAAGACCTTTATTATCTTATTCCTGTGTTACTAGGGCATAGTAACATCATCATTCTTTATGTGATCCTCTGCCTAGATTTTGTGAAGGCTATTCTGGGTTAATTTATTGTTGCCATTTACCCTTTTTAATCTATCGGGGAATTCTCTTGCTTTTAGAATTATGTAATGCCTTGACAGATAGTCTATGACACCAACTAGTGATGCCATGAAGAGCTGTGAATCAGTATATACAGATGATGCATCAATCTTTCCAAGTATACTGCAGTTCCCAGGAAAATCTTAAATGCACTTGCACTTTATTCTGCAATGCTCTGTATGTACAGTAACTATTTTTCTGTGCCATTTTACACTAGGTCAATCAACAAATTTTGTGGTAAGAATATTATTAGCTTCCGAAGTCTAAATGCCAACTAGATCACTTACTAAAATACGAAGCTGCAAGCAGCTCCAGTCCAGTGTAAGGATTTGTAAAGTACATATTCCTAACGCAATTTGAGTTTTAGGGCATTTCTATAGGAGACAACTCAGCCCTAGCAATCTTAGAGTACAAGATAATAATCTACAAATGGAATATTTAATTTGCACTGGATTTGTTTTTAGATAGTTTCCACCTTCCTCCTGACCCTAAGATGTATGCATCCAGTTAAAAATAGTCTTACACAATAACTCTGTGTTTTATGTAAAGAAACATGCTTTGCATTAGGATCCTAAGTTATTGTGACTGTGTGCTTTAACATTAGCTTTTATCTTTTTATCCTGTCATTGGAGATTATTTTCAAAAATAGAGATTTTCAAACAAAAATACTAGTGGTCCTAGAACAAGTGTTCTAAAGCACTTTTAGCATCTTTCATCAAAAGCTGCAGAAATAACTGGATAATTAGACTCTTCATGTATCATTTTTCCCCATAACTGTAAATGATAATGAGCATTTCAGCTACTATCCAAGAATGTGGTACCACTAACCCAAACCCGCTGACCTGCTGTTCAGTCAGCTGTTTCTATCAGGCAAACCCCCCTAGAATTGCATTCTGTACCTCAGCAAGGCCAGGGTTTTTTGTGTAAGTAGAGGCAACAAAATGGGCAGGAGAAAAAAGCAGAGATCAAGGGCATTTTCTTCTGCAGGCTCAGAGAGAGCTACACAGAGCACTAATGCTGCTATGAAGGAAAACATGATCTCTCTGAAATACAGACTGAATTTTCAGTAGAGGTGTTTGTTATAAGCCATTGTTACCCTTTTGAGCTACATCTAGAACTGAAGTAACCACAAGAAGCACAAAAGCTAAATGAAATACGGGACAGGTCACTAAAGTCACAACCTCAATAACTTTTAGGTGCTTATTCAAACATAACTCCAAGCAGTGCAATAAATCTGTTGGTGAGATGATGTAATTTTACTGCTACAGAGGTAACATTCATTACAGGGAAGTCTCTACTTAAAAGGAGCCATCACCACATAATGAAGAACAATAGGAAAAGCTCAAGCACCTGATCCTAGAGGAAATAATTGCGTATTCCTTCAGTCTGTAGAACTATCAGCTTCAGCCATCACCCTTTAGATGGAAATACTGTCCCTTGGGTAACAGCACGATCATCTGCTTCTTTCTCTCCAATAGTAATGATGGAAAGAATTTCATCACGCATATATGTGAAATGCTCATTTTGAGAACAGATGTTGAAAGTCAGATAGATAGAGAAGATAATTGGTTGTTGTTTTCTTTTAGTGGATATTCAGACAAGTACTGTGTTAGCCTGAAGAGGAAAGGTATCTTCGTCAGGCCACATGCTTTTGTACTTCTGCTGTGATTAGCAGGCAAAATAAAAGCACAACAACAGAGGTGTCATTCCCACCCATACTAGTGAGTGAAAAGAAGCTGCTATTAAGAATAGTGTTTTTTCCCCCTTATCTTCCAGGGAAGTGGAATAATTGGATCATTTTTTATTAATAAATCTAGACACTATATTAGAGTATTTAAGGACACACAATTGATAACAAGCATTGCTACATTAAAACTTAGCAAAATAAAATAAGTGTTTTATACATGGCTTTTAAAAAATCCGTACTCACCAAGTTGGAAGGGGGATTTTCAGAAAGTACTACTTCAGCGGCATAGACTAAATGGGAAATTTGAGCCAAGTGAAATCAGTTGCAAATTTTCTTCAAATTATGTGCCGAGATTTTTGCCCTAATTATACAGAGTTAGTTAATATTACATTGGCAACCAAGTCTGAAGGGATCAGAAATGTTTCAAACTCAGCAGAGTTTCAAGATGACAGCAACAGTTAAGCAGCAGAAGAGCTAAGAAGGCACCATTAATGGTAAGTGATTGTTGAACTGAAGAATGATTTTTTTCCCAACCTCACAATCAACATTTCTTAATTTTAAAAAGAAAAAAAAAATATTCTGGGAAGAATACATTCTGCTAACACTTGCACTGTGAAAATAGTCCAGTCACTATACTAGTAAGAGCTAATATGATAATAGTTTATTTCTGTAAATACAACATACAGCGTCATAAGACTGTGGATATACATCTGTCATATCTGAGGAATGAATGTCACAACCACACTAAATAAAAATGATAAAACACACAAAGCCAACAAAACACTGAAAACAACGAAATGCTGTAAAGATTAATTTAAATTTTAACAATATCTAAAAGTTCACAAATTCATAGTAATACACTGATACTAGTGTTAACTTGTAATAAATATATTGTAGATTTGAATTCTAGTCTATAATTTGTCACATGTCATGGCATAATTACACATGGTACTACTCTATGAAATAAGTAATAGAGTTCAATATGTTTACTCTTCAGTAACTACAGTTACTAACATCAGGAAAAATTACCTCCTGAAATTAGTTTCATCCCCTTCTGTGTATGTTAGCACATATAAGTACACTTCTCTACTCGATTTAAATTATCTAGTAAAATTACTGGCAATATTTGCTTTTAAATTATCATGCTCGTCTTTGAAATCCTTATGCAAAATCCTTTGAAACAGCTTCTATAAAATTTGGAGCAGACATGAGTATCGTAAGTGTGCAAATGATGGCAAAAAGGGTAAATGCAACCAGACATAACCTGTCTATGACAGCAGCTGCAAACTTCCACTCACTGCAGATCTCTTCACCCTCATCTTGTTTCCTGAAGCGCATTGCAATGAACTGGACTTCCTCCAGGATCTTCACAATCACTGGAAGAGTATCCATTAAAGCTTTCTTTTGAACAAACTCAATATCTTCCGGTAAGGGGCAGGTAAGCTTTCTGCTCTTGCTATCCAGATCATTCTTGTCGGGGCAGCACGGATTATCTGTCGCGTGGTATCTATAGATTGTGTTGCCATTGCTGGACTGGTGCCCAGGCAGGGCATTCATCTCCATGCTGCTTACACTCAGATGGTCCTTGGGATAGCTATATTTGCAAGAGAGAGGCTTTATATTTTCCCCAGGTTTTTTCATTCGTAAAAACCAAGCACACCAATTCAGCAGGCTGACACGGACCTGAAAGAGAGTGATCATAACAGAAATAAAGGGAACTTTAATAGTTTTTGAAACATTTTGTGACTATTAATAGTCTGTATGGTCTTTTAGAAAGACTGGCTGTTTTCTGTGCCCTCCTCCTACCTGCTTTCACATGAGGAGTTTGGGGGTCTGGCTTCTTCCCAAGGGTGACCTATTTTTGGATGTGTCTTGAACATCAAGGTGTTCAATGCCCACTTACCTTATAAAATAATAGAGTTGTAAAGTCTTACTTTACAAAATCCCAAGAACCTTATTGTTAGCAAACAATCCCAGATCTATGTAACTGAACAAAGTGCACAAAATTGTCTTCATGGTTTTCGACCTTTTCTCAGATAGTATTGAAGGAGATACACCCAAATATTTGGAGGGCATATGTTTAGATTCTGCTGGAAAAAAAAACCCTTATACAACAGACTAACAGGTTTTTTTAGCACATTCCCCAACCCATCTCTAAATAAACACCCTTGGTTCTTGGTTGTTGTGGGTTTGTCATGGTTTTTTTTTTTTGTGGCTTATTTATTTATTTATTTGAAGGCCTTTTTAATACTCCTCTGAAAATTTCAGCCACATAATATAGCAGGCTTTCTTTTAAGGAATGATAGTAAGTCAGTTAAATTGGGCAGTTCAAAATCTGAACATGACTATGAACTGCTGCTGTTTCCCTGCGCTCTGGTGTACAACTGCTCTGACACGTGGTGAGAGTGCTTTAAGCTGTACATGGCAGATTGTGCCCTGTATATTTCTTGTCAAGGTCACCAAATGAGCGAACTCCAGAGAGGGTATCCAGCATATTTTCCCAGCTAATTAAACATCAGAAGTCCTGTCTGACAGAACATGTCAATGTCCTGAATCAGTCTGCTGTGATTCCTATTATTAACTTTCTTTGTTGTGAAAGGCAGTAGAAAGGCTGCCAAATCCATAACTTATTGTGTGAAGGGCAGTAAATGAGTAGTCTTGTAATCAAAAAGTTCTTCAGGTATTATGCATAAAAAATGGACAATTGCAATGTGCTCTAGGAAGATAGGTGGCCTCTTTAATGACTTTATCATTCTGATTCTAAGCTAAACAATCTGATGTCCAGGAGGCAACAGACATGACCTCTGGCTTCACTTCTGAGCCTTGGTTCAAGGCTCTTTGTGTGATCCTGCTCCAGGCACTTCAGCCATGTTTGACTCAGGACCACACTGCTTCCAGTGTTGTTTTAGATGAAGAATGAATTGTCTCCTGTGTTTGCACAGTATGGATGTGGGGATGGCGAAATCACAGCTAGCACTTGGAGCTGCTGCTGTAATGACAAGCATAATTTCAGAAAGGAGGAGGTGTTAATTACCACAGGTAAAAGCCCAAACCAATGACCAGTGGAAGAAGGTTACACAATTTTTAAGCTCTGCAGTCTGAGCTCTTCTGGGTCACAGCCCTGTTCCAGTTTCTGTGAGCTTTTATGCCTCTCGCTTATTAATGAATCTTTTAGTCTTCATGTTGAAAGACCATTTTTGGTTGACTCATATTATTCTGCTTTCACTGAGATCTTTAAATATTTCATTAGTTCCTTATCACAGGCAAATGGAAAACTATAATGCAGCAGCCTAAATAAATTGATCCTGCATTTAATTGAACTTAATTACAATGCCCTCTGACTGCTTATGGACACAAAATAGAACATTGTGGAATAAAATAACGGTCTTAATTACTAACAACATTTCAAGTGCCAGTGGCAAAGAGGAGAGGCAAATAATTTCTCCAATACTATGAAATTCCAAAATATTAAGCCAGAAAAATTGTCACATTAGAAAATATTAATATGTCTACCTTAGCTCTGGAAGAAGACACATCTGAGAAAAGCCCTGTTTACAGTATTGCTACTTTTTCTTTCCAGAAAAAGTATTACTCCTTAGGAAAATTATACTTATAAATACAGACAAATCCATTTCCCATAGAAAAATAAATACACAAAAGACAGTGGCACAGTTTTAATTTGCTTAAACTTATAAATGCCCTGTTTCCTTGAAAACACAGACATTCAGACATCAGTCTGTTCTTGTTATCCCAACTAATTCAGGAGGCAGCTGCACCACAGGGGTTGTTGGAAAACAGCATGGGCATGACAGTATGAACCTATGTTCTCACCTGCATTATTGCATCTGGATTTCTGTGAAGGAAGGACACAGGTACATACTCTCTCAAAGGTCAGCAGTCTAACCCTGCTCTGACCTTCTCCACCAAGGCCCTCCCCTAACTGTAACACATACAAGTTATACTGCTAGCTGCCATCACAGCCACTTTCCTGGCATAGTCCAGAGGCAAGAATCTCCAATTAAACTCTCCTGATAAAAGGCATAGGCATCTGTGCAAATTTGTGCATGTCCAAGATTAAAGCACACCAAAAGAAAAGCCTGAAACCTAAAAAAATCTAATTTAGCAAAGATGCAAAGTGCTTTTGTCTTTCCCCACAAACACCTTTCTCTGTTCTGTACTTGGTCTCTTCATATCTCCTGCCTATGAAACAGTCTTGGTTGTCAGCAGAGGTAGGTCAATGAAGCTTTAGTTATCCAATCCCAAACTGTTCCTTAGCTGGGTCTTTAGTGCTCTTTTCCATGATAGCTTAGCAGATGTTATCAAAAGTGTCAAGCAGCCAGCAGCTCCCATTTCTCAGTTGAGTAGCCAAAAAAAAATGCCCTGTCTGAACACCTTGAATTTAAACACCTTTTTTGGAAAAAGCTGGCTTTAGTAAGTCATCCAAGATTAATAGAAAGGAAGGCACAATTCTCAGCAGTGGAGTAAGTGAAGAAGTGATCACCTACAGAGAGGCTAAACACTAACACACACAACTCCTCCCTCTTCTGTCTCAAAGGCCAAGCGGAGATCCTTTGAGAGACAGGCAGAGAAAAGAAGCTGTTCAACTATAACCAGTTTATACACTGAGTGCTGAGGCAAATCAGTCAGTTAAATATCCTCCGTCTGGAGATACCCATACACACGAGCAGTGCCTTTCCCTGCAACTTACTCCATCAGTTCCTTCACTTTAAGCGGGAGGTGAGATCAGTCCTGTAAAAATATCCAATTAATAAGAGTTAAAGATTTGCAATAAACTGATGCCTGTTTCTGACAGGATGAGTAGGTTATAGGGAATAAGTAGATGGTAGAAATATCTGCTAGGACTGGAAGTTTCAAATAAACAATTTCCTTCTTTCTACACACGGCTATCTTAGATTCCTAGGGTTTTATTGAGCAAAAATCTTTCAAGGTGTCACTTTAAAAAACGTCTAACATAGGTAGACAATAAAAAAAAAAAAAATAAAATGGAGACTTTGCCACCAGTTTTAAAAACTGAGTCTTACCCATGTCTTAGAGAGGACGTGGGGTCAGCCCCTTC